TGTTATATAGATTACATGGAAATTAGAATTTGGATTTTTGGATTTAGTTTTATGCCAATTGCCAATTCTGTTGTACACATAATAATATTCTTATTTCTTAATATTGATAAGCTTTTATAGATCTATGATTTGAATTTATAATTATATGTTATTAGTTATTACTTATTACTAAAAAGTAGTAACATAGGCGGTGATCGGGGGGGGGGCTTACGGGGGATTAGACCCCCCCCCAAAAAAAAAAAATAATAATAATAATTTTAAGTTAAAGCCCCCCTAAAAATATTAAACAAACAATACCGTAATTGTGTACAGTTTACCAATTTATTATTTACGGTACATACCAAACAATTAGTCACAATTCACAATAATAATATTATTATATTGTGTTTACATAGAACAATAATATTGTACATATTTTGTACCAATTATTGGCCATCAATCTATTTATAGATGGGAAAAAATATTATTTCTTTTCTAATTTTTGTTATTTCTCGAGAAGCCATAATAACCAGACTGAGATAGTTGGATATTATTATAGTACTATCGCTATAGTGCTGTATTAACCCATTTCTCTATTCTGTGATTACACCTATTGTAAAGTTTATCGTGATTGAATGAATCGTATTCGTACATTGTAATGGGTATCGATCCGCGATCGTACATTCGTATTCGTACAATCGTACCGTTGCCGTTACCGTATTGACCATTTTATACTAAATTATATTTTACTTATTGTTTGATGTTCTTGGGAATACGTTTCTTTTGAGATTGTGATTTAGATTTTTTAAAAATAATTTAGTTCAAATATGTTTGAAATATTTAAATTTAAATCAAAAACCATGAAGTGCTATTAATGAATAAGCTATTCATCAAGCCAACCATGACCAATTACCTATAATGTATTATCCCTCCATTGTGCTTACCGTAATTATTTTTATACAGATTGTGCAAATAAAAAAAATAAAAAACAACTGAAGAGATCCCTAAAGAGATACTGACAAATACTACTGATCAACTTGAAGTAGTTGTCGACGACTCTGATTTAGACTTAGGTGATTTAGAGTCTGGTCCTAAAAGACCAAAACGTCCAAAACTATTAAGGTAAGAATAAAGGTTAGAATTTAGTATTCACCTACTACCTAGGTATCGATTATAGATAATATATTTTATATAATATATAATATTTTTTAGGAATTCCCTTTAACACAATTTGGTACTCAAAAACGTGGCATGTTGAATATTTGGAAACAATCAAACTGAACCTATATTCACAACCATTAGGTTTAAAAATTGGAAAAAAAGTATGTTTTATTAATTATTATATAAGTAAATGAAAATACTCCAAAAGAACGTAAACAGATTTTATAAAATATGACCGGATACTGGAGAGCTAAAAATCAATTAATATTTCAAAATACTTAAAGTAAAATCATTACAGTTTCAGAACTATGACCTATGAATTATATCCTAAAATACATTTTTATTTGAATAATTGTGAAAAAAGCATTCAATAATAATTTGCTATCTTAACAATCGTCTGAAAAAAATGTATTTAAATTATGCCCTTCTCTGCATATAGGTAGGTACCTAATTTTACTCGGTATTTTTTATTTGCTACCAAAGTATAAACTGTATTTTATTGTAGTTTTGACTTTTTTATTGTACCCTAGGTAAAATGTAAAAATATAATTAAAAATATCTAAATTATTTGATACCTATAGTTATGTGGATCTAGAGGTTCAAAAAATGGAAAACAATCAAAGCTTGACGTCCATGCTAGTACTAAGACTTACTTGACTTGTATTGCAAAATTGTCAGGACATAATAATATAATTGTTAAACAAACTGGCACTGTTCATACCGAGCTAACAACACAGCATCAATTAAAAATTGCAGCTAATAGAGAGTATATGAAGTATGAACTGCCTTATTGACAGTGGCGTAAATAGTCCATTGGAGGCCCGTGTGCAAAGACTAAAATGGGCCCTCCAAAAAAATAAAAAAATAAGCAGTGATAAAATATGATTTATCCTTATATTAATGATTAGGTTATATTTATTGTTTACCCATTACTTTCTTGTAAGCAACCTAGCAACATTTATAAACATTTATAAATTAATCACATCTTGTAAATTTTTTTAGGTACCTAGATATTTTTAAAATGTAGGTATATAAATATATATATATATATATACATTTTATAAATGTAGGTACATTTAATCATTTAAATACTATAAAAGTACGATACGTTTATAGAATAACATTAAATAAAAAAACAAAATATATTAGGTACTCATGTTGTAATGATCACCACAAAATAAAATCATTTTACATTTATCACTAGAAAGTAGAAACACTTTTTAATTAGGTACTTATTAAATAGTAGGTACTAGGTAATATACAAATATTTAATAATGCATAATATTATATAACTAACATAATTTTATTTTATTTTATTTGAAATACTTTTGATCATAAAAAATTATGTTAGAAACAATACAAACTCAATTTCACAAGACAGTCTTACGAACATTGCAATTAATAAAAACGTTGAAACTACTTTAGAAAATTTTTTTTTCTTAACTTTAAATTTGCGAAGTCGTTTATAATTTTGTTAGTTTCAAGTTCTGAGGTTTTTTCTCTTTCAATATTGAGAATTGCAATGTTCGTAAGTCTGTCTTGTGAAATTGAGTTTCTAAGATAATTTTTTATGAGCTTAAGCTTAGAAAAAGAACGTTCAGCAGAAGCGACTGTAACTGGAATAGTCAGAAAAATTAAACACAGCGTAAAAACGTCATGAAAAGACGATGCCAAGTCATGTTCGATTAAATAAACTGTTAGGTCTTTAATATCATGCAACACAGATGTTGAGTTATTAACACAAAGAAAATTTCTTAAACACAAAAGTTGATTTGTAATATCTGAACTTAACTCATTCTTATACTTTATGTGTAAATCGTAGGACGCTTTAATTATAATTTGTTCCTCTATTGTAGTAAGATTTATTGGTTTTAAAAAAGAAAACTCATCACTTATTGTTTTAAGACCTTTAAACCTTTCTTTAAGCTCAAACAATGCCGTGTCCAGTGCGGGATAAAATACTTTAACTTTAAAATTGTCTTCAGTTATAGAAAGTCTTCGGTCACAATCAACTTCTTCGTGATACCTAACAGCAAATCTTTCACGTTTACGATTGAAGTTGAAAGGTATTTTCCATGAAACACAAAGATTCTTGGCATCTTCTACTATATTTTAGCCATTGAGTTATTAAGCCATTAGTTCCAGATATGAGATACGTTGTAGATAATATTTTTTTCCCAAATCGGGCCTCCAATAATATATTATTATTTATTAGCGTATAAACCATATACCTACATATAGTACCAATATAAGGTCCGTATTTCCTAGTATTTTTTCAGGTATCAAAATAATATACATATTTTTGTGAAATTTTGAATCGAATGACGAATATAGAAATAACCAATGGGCAATAGTGTAGGTATTGTATGTTGGGCTGGGGCCCCCTTCGGTCCCGAGGCCCGTGGCGTTTGCCCACCTTGCCCACCCGGTATTTACGCCACTGCTTATTGATATAACACTATATTTAGAGGACACAATGAAAACAAAACCACATTAAATCAAGGTATCGTATAAAAAATAAGAAAAAAATATATTATCAATTTAGTATTGAACTGTTTATTTTATTTTTAGAGAATTTTAAAGAAGCCTGTGTTTTATTCTCCAAGCACATACCCAAGTTTTCTGAAATATTTACCAAAGACACAAATTACACTAGTCACCATATACAGAATGAAATTATTTATATATTATGTGCAAATAGTGTTAAAGATTTAATTATAGAAGAAGTTGGTACAGGAACATTCAGTATAATGTGTGATGAAGCACGGTAAGAACTAAGAAATGCATAATATAATAATGTAATAATAAAATGATTTTATTTATCATTAAAATGTACAATATTGTATTTTAATTTTTTTATTTAGACATAATTTTAATTTTTTAGTTGCTGTGAAGACGAGCAGATGTGTATGCATTTGACATGTAAAAGATTTGGATATTCAAGAAAGGTTTCTTGGATTTATTGACTGTTCCGAGAAACAGGATGGGCAAGCTTTAAGTGACCCCATTTTATATTACCTGCAGACATGTAAATTAAGTGAAAAAGCTCAAATAGTTTCACAATCGTATGATGGTGCGAATGTGATGTCTGGAAAATTTAATGGAGTCCAATCAAAAATAAAGACCAAATTTCCACATGCCACTTTTACACACTGTATGGCTCATAGAATCAATTTAGTTGTTGTGGATATGTGTAAAATTGCTAAAGTAACATTATTTTAATAAAATATTTGTGTTTAGTTTATCAATAGTTAATGAGTAAATTAAAATTAAAATGTCTTGCTTTTAGGAAACCTCAAGCTTTTTCAATACTATTGAGTATATACCTATAATATGTACATTTTTTGATTTGCCTAAAAAATAACCCCGGATAAAACAACCCTGAAAAAAAGAACCCCGAAAAAATAACCCTATAATAAAAATGATTTGGAAGTATAAATATAATAAAGTATAAATTTGTAATACAATGTCAATAATACATAAAAAAAAAATATGGAATACATGTGGAATACAATACAATTATTTGTCAATTTCAGTTTCAATAATATAATAATTTGGTAATAAAGTATAAAATATTTGTAATACAATGTCAATAATATATAAATAAAAAATACACAAAATAAATGTGGAATAGGTACAATCCAATTTGTCAATTTCAGTTTCAATAATATAATAATTTGGTAATAAAGTATAAAATATTTGTAATACAATGTCAATAACATATAAATAAAAAATACACAAAATAAATGTGGAATAGGTACAATCCAATTTGTCAATTTCAGTTTCAATAATATAATAATTAGGTAATAAAGTATAAAATATTTGTAATACAATGTCAATAATATTAATAGGGATCTATTTTATAATCGTTTTCTTAAATTTAAATAATTTTTTTTTAAAAATGTATCCACTTCAATTTGGTAAGTATTTAACCGTTCGTATAAGGTTTTTAATCTTTTTTGCACGGTTTTCGATTTTGTACGTTTTATTTTGGACTCTCCAATGTTTTGCAGAGCAAAAAAATGTTCTGCCGACAATTCATTTTTTATTTTGGTTATTAACGTCCAAAACGATGGGTGTTTTCCTCCAACTAAATGACAAAATCGATTGTTCCATGATTCGCAAACATTATTGGTTTGTTGGTTATTTTCAAGTGTTGTTCGTTGAACATTCCAAGTTTCCGGAGGAAACATCGCTGGGAAACTTCGAACTCTTAAACTTAGAGTGTTTTGTTTATTTATTCGACATATTGTTCCACTCACGTAGGTTTCGTCAAAATATTGAAATAACTCCTCGGCACCAAGAGGAATAATTAATTTTAAATATTCAACACCTTCTTGTAACCTATTTAGTCGTAAAAAAGCCAAGCCATCTAACATACCACATAATTGGGTATATACAATAATTTATCATTGAATCCAAAATTAATATTGTACGTAGGTAATAGCCAATAGGTATGTTATACATTTTGTATTGATTTGAGATTAATTTGCAAAATCTCATATTACGGCCTATGGGATTATTTTTTCGGGGTCTAAATTTCTGGAGTTATTTTTTCGCGGTACCACATTTTTCTCACACTTAAAAAAATCGCCAATTAACTGATTTACAAAAAAGCTTGGGCTTGAAAATAAAAATTATCTGGCTTATTAGTAATACAGGATGGAACTGCAGGTATAAAAATTGAAAAGCTTTGAAACAATGTTTTAAAAGTATTCTTAGTGTACTTAACAATGAAATTGAAAATAAAGCTGATAGAGATGTCAATGAAGCAATAGGTACAATGAACATAGCTTTTTAATTATATAATAATATTTATTATTATTTATTTATAAATTAAATCATTATTTTTATTCTTTAAGAATACTCGCAACAATTACAAAAGGAAAATTTGTTGTAGTTTTATTCATCATGACCCATGTATTGTCTTGCATTAATGTACCAAGCAATATGCTACAAGATAAAAATGCCACATTAGGAAAATTAGCTAAATTAATTAACAGTGTGATAAAATCATTTGAAAACTCTCGAACTTATGAAAGTTTCTCTAGTATGTGGACATCAATACAAACATTTGCCAAAGTAAACGATATTTCAATTGATATACCATCTCAAGCAAAAGTTAATTTGTACAAAAATTTATTAATTTTAATCACTAACATTATAATTTAAATTTCTTATGTTTTCTTTTAACTAGAGCCAAAAAGGAAAAGACAGCAACCTAGTCATTTAGTTCAGTTTTTAAGAAGCGCGACTACTGGTGCAACATCTGAAGCAAAGGATGTAGAAACTACTGTAGCTGAAGATTATTCTAAAATAAATATATATTTTAAAGTAATTGACTCTATTATTGAAAATTTAAAAAAAAAAAAGGTTTTCCAAAGAAAACTTGTCCCTTGCTGTTGGAGTTGATGAATTTATAAAACTAAACTATGATGGGAGTACTCAGTTTATTGATCATTATAAGGTATTTTTAATATTAATTTAAAGCCAATTATTTTATAAATATTCTGTAGGTACTAATTTATTATATAAAATAATTATTTTTTAGGATTTATCGGGTTTAAATATTTGCCAACAAAGTTTAAGGTCGGAAATGATGGTTGCAAAGAATATCTAGTTGAACCTGAAAGAAGCGATATTGAAGATATTAAAAAGAATATTTCACCTCAAGTGTTTCCTAATTTGTATAAAATGATACAAATTGCTTTAACACTACCTATTACTTCTGCTACTTGCGAGAGAAGTTTTTCTGCTGTGAGGAAGATAAAAACATGGCTAAGAACATCTATACATCAAAAATAATTTAATGAACTTTCAATATTATATATCGAAAAAGATAAGACAAAAGCTTTAAATAATGAAGCTATTTTAAATACTTTTTACAAAAAATGTAAAAGAATAATAAAATTAAGTTAAAAATGGTAATACTTTTTACAAATATGTAATAGAATAATAAAATTAAGTTAAAAATGGTGATTGTATTTTATTAATTCTTTTTTTATGTTTGTAATTATTTAAGTTGTTATGATAACGAGAACAATTTTTTATGAGTGATTTAATGTATAAATAAGTTTGTTGGGGGTGTGGGGGCAACGCTCCCACGGGTCTGTCATCAATTTTTTTAGCCCCCCTCAATATATAACAAGATCTCCGCCTATGAGTAGTAATAACTAATAACTAATAACTATAACTTTATAATTATATTATACATTTATACCTTTTTTTTTTTTTTTTGCAGTTTTGAACCGACGGCGTCGCGGGAACTGCTTTCGCATTCTTCCGCGACGCCGCCATCGTTTATTTGAAACAAAACAAATATTATACATACATACGTGGGGGGGTAGACGGGACAATTCCCCGACTTACCCCCCCTCTATACATGACATTTATCAGTTTAATTAAATTGACAATTTCGGAGGTTTTGGCGGATGGTCGTCGTTTTGGCGGGCCGACCGGAGTCCGCCGCCCTTGAATTCACGTGCGTGCCCGTCTTGGCGAGCCGACCGGAGTCCGCCGCTCTGGGGTCTCGTACGTCCTACGATGCCGTGATCGTCGTCCCTCCCGTGGTGTCACAGGTGGGGGGGATGAAGAACGTGGTCGGTGACACCTCCGACGTTTCGCAAGCGAATTGCGGGGTGAAGCTGACCGTTCTTCATCGTTTGTCCCATCTGGCGACTAGCCATAGTTCTGCTCCTCTCGCTCATCCTCTTCCTTCGTTCCGAGGATTGAGTCGAACATTTCTACGAGCTGCAGTCGGTTCGTTTATATATACATTTATACCTACAAGTGGCTACAACTACTATACATAAAATATCTATTGGATTTTGAAACCGAAAAAACCAAAATAACCTCTACATCAAAATATAGGTTTTCTTCACCTTATAAGGCTAAGGACTTTATGTCTCATCATATTCTGATGTTATATGATTTATTAGTATTTAGTTACCTATATGTTATATGACTATCGGACTATTCGGACTTCAAAATATAGTTTGATTGTTTAAACCAGGGCTTGCATTTGAAAAAAAAAATTCCGTTTTACGTTATTACAATTAAAACGTTACACAATTTTTGCGTTTATCGTTATTCAGAATTAAAACGTTACCCAAGTTTTGCGTTTATCGGTATTCAGAATTAAAACGTTATCCAAGTTTTGCGTTTATCGTTATTTAGAATAAATACGTTATTTTACCCAACATTTTCCAACAATCCAGTAAGTAATTTACTACTTAATTTTTTTCAACATAATTACCAGAAAATTATAATTTATTATTTTATTAATATTTAATATTGGTATAAATGGTATTTTTTATAATTGAGTTGGAAATTTCAACTGAATAATTTAATAAGTTAAAAACAAAAATAATAAACTAGTTAAGTTAAAAAGTTAAAAAAAATTAACTTTTTACTTAACTTTAACTTTTTAACAAGTAAATGCCCACTTTTGCATTTTCAGTACTGGGTTAGAAATTGTTTTACCCATGATTGCGTTATTTGTTTTAATATGACGTAGCTAATATAAATAAAACGGATGTTTTAACAACAGACAACAGTATATACTTTAACACTCACAAGAGGACCGCAGTAGTACAGACTACAGATGAGACTAAGTAGTAAGTACTGCAGAGTGAATACAAAAAGTCTATACTCTATACTTCTACAGCATAATTATCGGGTCATCATCAATCATTATTAATAATAATTATTATTATTATACTAAGTATTTGCTATTGGAAATTCAATTTAAAGTTTATCAATACCTAACTCCAAAATATGCGGGTAGGTTATCTCCCGGATACGGAATATAATATAATCAATTCTTAGATTTTTTTCTAAGACAAAAATAAATAGTATGAGATAAAATATATTTCTACAAAACCAGTATAGGTACTTTTAAATAAATGGATTTTAAATTTTCAAATAATTTTCGTTTAATGACATTCTGTAAATTACGTTTTGCGATATTTTTTGTTTAATGATATATTATATATTTTGTTATTAGTTATGCTTTGTTTTGCGGTATTTAATTCTTTTTGATTATCGCCTTCCGTTATAATTACGTTTACAAATTTCAATCGTTATTTGTCAAATATAACGTTATTATAACGTTTGCAAGCCCTGGTTTGAACTATTTATTTTAGAACAGCTTCCTTAGAAAGCCATTATTCCCAATTTTGTCAAATTATAAATTACACTAATTACAATTAGGTACAATAATTTATACAAAAAAGTCGTTAAAATGTAGGTAGGTACAAACTGCGCAAATTACAATTGCAATCATTTCTCATATCAAAACATTAATTTATTTATTTGTTAATACATATTTAATATTTATTGGTACGCGTTTGCATTAAAAATGTTAAAAGATCAATTTTTTTAGATTTGTAATCAGAACATATATATATTTCTTTTTCATACGATTTTGTTTTTTTAATATTTCTATTCTAAGCGCGGGTACTTTCTTTCTTTATTTTTAAATCAGTATTGACTTGAGTTTCCATTAGTATTTGAATAATTAGGTGAATGTGAGGGTGGGAGGTATACAATTTACTATTGAAGTGCATGCAGTGGCGCAACTAGCGGGTAAGTTAGAAAAGTGAAACTTTGGGGCCCCATAATAAAAAATTGGTTTTTGGTATTTTTTCACATTTTATAATTATTATTATTATAACCTATATTTTTTTATAAACATCTACATTAAAATGAGATGGTTATACTATAATTACCTATACTGTTATATTTTAATAGTTATTGTTAATAGCCTATGGATTACCTATATTACACTACGAGTTATTGATTTAATAATACCATAAAATCATTACCCATGGATTAATGGAGGCCAATAATAGTGTTCTAAAATGTATACAATAATCAACAGCCTACTCCTATTATTATTATAGCAGGAACTTATTATGTAAATAAATGTGAAAATAATGTTTAACCATACATATTTTTGTAATAATTATATTGTGATGGATAGGTATATCATAAATGGAAATTTCCACTTTCAATCGCATCTTTGTATAATATCAAATATTACCTATCAATTACCAATTAACAATATAAAATATTATGTGTTTAATACAGTGTTTACAGTCTCGACTCTTGAGTGTTAAGTCTTGAAATGTATTTAGTTGTGCCTTTCGCGTGTGTGTTATAATTTATAATAATTAATTATATGAATATAATATGATTATTTCAATTTTAATGATACGTATATATTTATTCTATTTACTATTTTAGTTTACGTGTTGTTTATGGACAATGGACTATGGTAATAGTATCTATATATTAGCTACGTTCTAAGGGTGGGATTGCGAATTTATAAAAGATTTATTAGACTTAAATTTCTTTATTAGTATAATATTACCCATTT